ATAATACCTATTAAAATTCACATATACATTTTTACTAACAACACTAACCCTAAACCCTAACCTAGCCCTAAAAAAAAACCCTAAAAAAAAGGCCCGAAATTTTTTTAAAATTTCAGCATCATCTGAATTCAGCATCATCACCGACATTTATTAACACTTTTACTATGGTGTTTTACCACCTAGGACCCTATTTCTCAAAAACGTACTAAGTAAACGAGATCGGGTACTCTAAGTAAAAATGTTCAGAACCCTAAAAACTTAACAATAACTGAGATCGGGCCTTATATTAGCTCTATATTATATTATAAAAAAAATAATAATAATTCTTAATACCTGAACCCTAACCCTAAATTTTATTAAATACAATTATATATGGTGGTAAAACACTATAGGTGCGTTTTATAATAATTGTTTATTAATAAAAAATTGTGAATTTTAAATATAGATTTAAAAAGAAACCTTAATTTTCAGTATAATCCACAATCATTATACCAATTAGAGAGAAAACTGTCTATTATCCGCAGTAATCCGCAGTAATTTCGGATTTTCATAAAAATTTATGTGATTGTACAAATATAAAATTATGTACATATGTACAGTTAGATTTAATTTTTTATAAAATGTCTACCAAGGTGCTATTATTTGATAAACCTAATATTACTCCCGAATTATTTGGAATTCTTTTTAGGTAAAAAAAATTTTAATTAACAATTCACAGCAATATTATTATATAGCGCAAATTACTATATTTTTATATAGTTTTGAAGTTTGTTTCCCTCACACATTAAGAAAATTCTATATAGTAATAGTACAAAATATAACATATAGCTTTTTTACACTATATATAAAAATATTTTTCTATATTTTAATTAAAGTATATTAGCTCAGTAAAAAAAAATAGTTAGCTATTGAGAAAATAAAGATTTCAAAATTTAATAGTAATTTGTGCATATGAAATACTATCATTACCGGTAATAATTAAAGAGTAAAATTGATATTAAAGGTATCATTCAGTAATTTCAAACAATTTTTTTTTTTTTTTTTTTTTAGATATATTTATGATGGTACTATTGACCTCACTAGCATTGATTTTTCTGACATTATTTTTCTTTTGTGGGGTGCACATGAACTCCGTCTAAGTGAACTATATAATTATATTGAAGATAAGATTGTTAGACAAAAAGACCTTGTTATGAAGAATATTTCTCTCGTCTATCAAAAAGGATTATCAGAATTTACAAAATTAACTGAGTTATGCAAGGACAAGGATATTTTCAAAAGTAATGATGTTTTTTTTTCACCAAATCGATCTATCATTTCTATTTCTGCCTCAGCCTTAATCACATCTACTTTAGCACCTACAAACCAACTCACAA